GTGTGTGTGTGTGTGTGTGGGAGGGGAACGGGGGCACACACATCCGAGCAGTTTATTGAAAACTAAAGCGTGCACCTGACTTAACTGACCTTTCTTTTAAGGTCCATAGTGTGGTTTCCAGCTCTTGGGCAATCGTATCAGGAGCACGGGATAGTATGATACTTTAAATGAGATACAAATACCTCTAAAACTTTGTAACTGTGGTAATATGTGATTATGTACTGCCCATAAAACTGTCCAGTTACCTTTTTATTATACATTATCACATTTACACTTGGTATGGGGTTAGCAGAACTTACACATCCAGCAGAACAATTAGTTTTCTTTTGGTGTGTTCCTGGCCATCTGGCAGAAGCCCGACGTTTGCTCTCATTTTCTGTTATAATCTCCACTAACTCCTGAAGAAATTAGCTATAACAGCTAGATGCACTCCACTATATTTGCTAGTCAGTTGCTAAATTTGCTTGCTTTTTGGTAGAGGTTTTTTTTTTTTGTTTGTTTTGTTTTGTTTTTGTGGGCTGAAAGACCAAGACAATTAGCTGAAAGATGCTAAAATGCTCTATAATGCTGAGGGGAACTACTGTGCCAGGTGATTATTTCTCTGTGGGTTTGTCACCAGGAGCAGCATTCATTCAAGGAAGAGGGTTAGGAATGTGGATGTTCATCTAAAGCATATAAAGAGTAATTGGATGGAGAGTAAGAGACATAAAAAAGGATTTGCAAGAGGAAGTAGAATGGTGGGGTGATGCAGAGTGACAGGAAAAGAGGCAGAGGAAGATATAATTATTTTCCAGCCCAGTCTGTTGAACGGCTGATAAGAGAGATCAATAGCAGTGGTGATGCTCATCAATCACATGTGTTGTGTGTGGTGGTCTTCTTATGGGCATGTGGTGAGCCTGGAATAGGAAGGAGACAAATAAAGCAGACACTGAATTTAATATAAAAACTGGGCACAAAGGCAGACAAAGAAAACAAAAAGATGAGTGAAAGGACAGAAACATTTAAGGAGAACAAGAGAGATTAAGTAAATAGGGCGAGTGCACTGGTGTTCAGGAGATATACAGGATTATAACAGGAAAGAAAAAATGTTTTCTCACAAATTGACTAATTTGCCAGCTTAGCTTTTCCTAATACTATAGAAACATGTTGGTCTAAGTGCGCTGCAGCTTACATGGTCTGATTTTCATCCCTCCATGTTGCTGCAGACCTACTTCCACCACAGTTAATGAGAATGGCACAAACAGGAAACCATGTTAGTCGTAATGAGTCTGATGGTGACTGGGCTGTCAGAGGAGCCAGTGAAGCGGGATGTAAAGAAATACAGGTCAGAGCCTGAGACAAATAGAATTTCCTTTCTGTGCTTTCCACTTGTCATTATGATTACATCTGGGACATGAGGATAAGTGTTATTACATCCAATCAGTGTGGAGAGTTTGGGGATGAAACCCAGCTGAGAAACAGAGCCCAGTGGACTTGTTAAAGTTAAGAGTGCACTCTGAAGTGTTCCCACTGTGTCTGTTAAGTAATGACCTGTTTTAAAGTGTCTGCAGTAACGTCTCACTTCTCGGTGCATTCTTTTTCCTTTTTACACACTTGAGGCCAAATGGAGCAGTGGTTGGGATGTTTCGGACTGGAAGGCGGTGAGCCACAAGCTACACCGTGAGAGGGGATGGGAGCTGCAGAAGGCAATTTCAGCTCCGTCCTTATCTAGCTTCACACCTGGAAGCATGTGTGGGGTAACACAGCTCCCACAGACATAGACTGGATCTGACTGGAAACACCTGACTCATCAAAATCTGTGACAGTGGGAGCAGATTAAATGTAAGCCAGGCCAGGTTTATCCGTAAATAATGCTCAACATGCAGCACAGCAGCCTTTTTTCCATTATATAAAGAACACGTTGATTGATGAGTTTTGCATTTATCTGTCTTCATTAGTAATAAGCCTGTGTAATGTTTGAACAGCAGCCACTGTAGCCTGTTGCTAAATGCTGAAATGTAACAGCACAGAAAAGACTCAGCAATACCTATCTTCATTAGCTACTGTAACGTTAGGCACCATAAACTACTTGTCATTTCAGATGAAAACAGGATGTAACAGAAAGTCCCTTGAGTGAATTGCACTAAGCAAGGTTGTGTTTTACTGCTTGTGAATTAACCTTTTCAACTGTAAGACGCTTTCTTATTTTAAAAGTTTCAAAGTCACACTTTTCAAAGTCGTCACTTAAATTCTTGGATTGGCTACTTGGATGCTAGTCGTTGATGGATCTGCCTTCCCCGCTCCCCTCAGTCAGCTTTTTTTTTTGGGGTGATAAATATTTATTTAAATTCCTGTTTCTACCCGGTTTCATATTTATTCCACGAAAAGTGAAAACTCCATTTGCTGAGGAAGATGGTGTGATGCGATAAAAGCTCCAGTAAAACTACTGTACAGACCTGAAGTTTCTAGGTGTCTACAGCATCTCTTTATCTCGAGATTGGTCTATGTCTCATTTTATGTATCTATGTTGTCAGTTATTGCTTCAGGTGTTTGTGACTTGACTTCTTTTTTCATTAGATATTGCAGCTTTGAGAATGAAGATGACTTTCCCCGTTCTGATTTATGATCAACCTTTACTTTCCCAGTGTGGAAGTTTACTATTTGACCTTTGTATGACTTTGTTCTTTTACTCATCTGCCTACCAGGTGACACATTATGTGACTATATTAAAGACCACAGGAACAAAGAGAAATATAGATATGGTACAAAAAGAAAACTGGAAGAACTGAAAGAATATAAATCATCTAAACATGTTCACTGTGTTTGTCTTTATTGTGCTGCATAGCAAAGCATTCCTTCTTTTAGGGTTTTTAGCCAAAGGTAGAGAACCACAGCCAAATGTTTCAAGACATTTTAGAAACCTGGTGAAAATATTAACACCACACAGCCGCTCCTCGGGCAGGTTGAGGTACGCTGACTTGAATGTCCTGACTGGGCTTCAATACGTTTAAATTAATCTCACAGTGTGCGTCCAGCCGTGCCCAGCATACCTCTGTCCCTGTCAGCTCTAAGGGCGGAAGATGGAGGTCAGACACAAACAGAAAAGGATCCTTGGCAGGAAATACAACGGCAGGTGCAGGCAGCAGTTCCCAGCTTTGCTCATGGAGTTTGAAATATTACATCTTTTCTTTTCATTTCACTTCTGTCTTATAAGACGCCACGTGGTGATAAGAGAGGATGGGTGAACTCTAACAGTCACCTGCCAAACTTGCTCATCTGCTGTGTTCTAGGAACAAGCTTGTTCAGTCAAAGTGCCTGCAGTAATTTGTTTTGACTGAGGTCTGCCATGATGCCAAGAGCCGCATGCCTTCACTGCAGAGAACAACTAAACCACAAGACATGTTCCATCACTCTCTGTGTTTTGGCTGATGCACGCCAATATCTTGAACTGATTAAGTGTCCTACAGTGACTCGCTTTGCTGCAAGTTGCCAAGACAGATACTCACATAAGCCTGTGCAACTGTTTAATGTCCACAGCTATTATATTAAACAAGCCTGACTGTGGCTAAATGAGCTTTATTTCCTTTCCACACTCTGATGCGCACATCGCAAGTATACAGACTGTATTTGGGACCTCATGGCTGTTACAGTAATGCTGTGTATCATGTGGAATGATATGTCAAACATATGGTAAAAGGTCGCTTTGGATTTGTGAATATACATCAACTCTGTGTTAGCCTGCAAACACTAATAACACCGTCAGCTGGCTGGTTTGGTTTTCCAGATCATCTAGAGCTTTTCATCAACTTTCACTGGATTAACTGATTTCATTTCACATAATCTTTTGTTTGGTTGTTTGTTTGTACCTACCACAAAGAATTACCTTCTTTTAGCATGTCTTTTTGTTATGAGTCAATAGTTGAGAAAACTGAACTTATTGAGCTCACTATGAAATGTTTTGTTTAACTGCCTGATTGTTTTTCTGCATATCAGTTCTAATATTACTTTTCTTTGATAGATTATTTTGATGGTTGGGTATTTTGATGTTATCTATCTATCTATCTGGTCTTACATTTGTTAATAATGTCTCAATGTCACAATGCCTTGTTAAGAATGTTCTTGGCTACATAAACAAGTCCCCAGACTTGACTTCGGCTAACATCCTCTGATGGTTTCGCAATGAGCATCTATCAAGTTTATAGTGGACATTTGTTCTCTAACTTTTTAATAACATCCATGAAATTATTCCTAAACTTTTGGCCCGCTCCACTTCCCACCGTTGGTAAGATGTTTGGCACCACAGCCTAATGAACTTAACCTTTGGCTTTGTCACGCCGCTGCCCGATCCCCTCGCTGTTCTCCTCCATCCTCTCTGTCTGCTGCTCCTGCCAGCGCCTGCGTTGTCCTTGGCTGTGTCTAACAAATCGTGCCATCTGTCTCAGACAGTTGGGAGGCACAAAACGACCATCCCGATGTACAGAACAGAAATTGGTTTTTATGCTCCTGCCCTGTCTAACCTTCTCTCCTCTATTTTAATCAATGTCTTCATTGGCTCCTTACTCTTCTTGATTGATAGTAATTGTAGAAAGTTTTGGGCAAAATGGCAAATCCATCTCTGCAGTCCATTGTAGCTCTGCCCACTTCTCATTTAAATGATAATGTATGGCTTTCTTCATCCTGCTCTGCAGTATCACCCCTAAACGTTTAGAACTCGTTACTGTCACTGTGACAGGCAGCACTATAATTCATATTTACCTCGGAATTTCAAATTGAAACAGCAGTGATGCTGTTAATGCACTTTTAGATGTGGTAAATCTGTGCAGGGTATACACAAAATCTAAAGTGTAAATGTTTTCCTGGTTAAAGGGGGATGTCTCCTAATAACTCCTAACAAGCAGAACACAAATGCACTCAAATGGCTTTGAAGCAAAGTATTCATATGTCTATACCAAAATCTCTTCCGTGCTGGCAGCACGGATCTGATAAGGGCCACTGGGAGGAGGGAGGAAGAAAAAGTGCGCGTATGTGGATCAGTGGTTTAGTGCGCACCTCCCCTCTCCACGGCGCGGAGAGCTTCCTTTCGCTTTACGGAGTCTGCTTGCAATTCCTGCTCTTCATGCCAGAGCCTGCAGCTGTCTCTGCTGCGTCGTCGCTCCGGGTTGACGATCCGACGACAGACTCGCTCACCTCGAAGTGTCAAAGCAAACCCGAAGGATACCGCAACTTTTCACCAATTTCCAACACTGTCGGGAGAGTGAATGAAGACACCTGACAGCTCGGAACTCCCCATCCGCGTGTTTACTAAAATCTTTGCAACTGTGAAGACTATGGGAATGTGGGTTACAAGTCTGTGTCAGCGGTGAGTGGTGCTGCGCTTATCATTCCTCTCTCCCTCTGTGTACACACGAGGGTTTGTTGGGCTGCACGTAGGCGTTACGCAGAATTAAGTTTGGTGCTTCAGTATGTCTGTGCAAGATTTTGAATGTAGACGTGATTCTATTTTAAACTAAGAGGCGACGGCACATAGGAAGAGATTACTGACATTTTTAATAGAATATTGTATCTAAGATTGCGTAAATTTGCGAAACATTTCCTTAAATGTGCACCCTTTTCCTGCAGTGAAAAGACCCGCCTCTGCCCTTGACACCATGACCACAGACTTGAACTTGACCTCCTTGCTCAATGCAACAGATCTGCACAATCACACAAGAGGATGTTCCCTCACCAAGACAGGTTTCCAGTTCTACTACCTGCCCACTGTTTATATTATGGTCTTCATCACGGGGCTGGTGGGCAACAGCCTGGCCATTTGGATGTTTGTGTGCCACATGAGACCCTGGAGCAGCATCTCTGTCTACATGTTCAACCTGGCTCTGGCTGACTTCTGCTACGTGCTCTCCCTGCCCTTCCTCATCTTCTACTACTTCAACAAAACAGACTGGATATTCGGGGATGTTCTGTGTCGACTACAACGCTTTATATTTCATGTAAATCTTTACGGGAGCATTCTGTTTCTGACCTGCATCAGCGTTCACAGGTACTCCGGGGTGGTGCACCCGCTCAAGTCTCTGGGTCGACTGAAGAAGAAAAACGCAGTCATTACCAGTGCGTTGGTGTGGGTGGTGGTCATTATAGGTATCTCCCCCATCCTTTATTATTCCAGGACCGGTCTGAAGCGTAATGCAACCACTTGTTATGACACCACCACTGAGGATGAGTTACCAGGTTATTTCATCTACAGCATGACGTTGACTGTGTTTGGGTTCTGCATCCCCTTTATTATCATATTTTGTTGCTATGGTATGATTGTTAAAGCATTGATCTGCAACGATATGAACAATGCCCCCCTGCGGCAGAAATCAATCCATCTGGTTATCATTGTGCTCACAGTCTTTGCCGTCTCCTACCTGCCTTTCCACGTGATGAAGAACCTCAACATGAGGGCCAGGCTGTACTTCCAGAGCCCTGACATGTGTGACTTTAATAACCGTGTCTACGCCACCTACCAGGTGACACGGGGGCTGGCCAGCCTCAACAGCTGTGTAGATCCTGTTCTTTACTTTCTGGCTGGAGACACTTTCAGGAGGAAGTTGTCACGGGCCACTAAAAAAACTTCCAGGAAGGGGGACCATGTCCTTCAGTCCAAGAGTGAGGAGACAGCACTCAACAGCCTGGCTGAGTATGTGGAGAACGGAGATCGGAGGCAGTGACAGGGTGCCCCTGGGCGCCTACTCATGGATATGGATCTCTGTCAGCTTTAGAATCCACGATGCACTCAGCAGTGAATAACTAGAGGCGCCGTGTAGACTGATGGCTGTGTGTACAATCTACTGGATGATGGTTTAAAGAACTGTAGGATGAATACTCTATTTTATCCTGCGATGACTTGCTCACTTGCAGTCCATCGATGTGTACTGTATTGTCCTGTACATGTGTTGTACTTTAAGCGTTAGAGCCAGTAGTTAGGGCTGCTTACACCTTGGACAAAATTTGCATCACACTCCAGCAAGGTGGGGGAAATAAGTTTCTCTACACGTAATAATGTTCCGGTCATCCATTTGTTCAAAAATTGGACCGAGAATGGGTATCACCCTGTCTAGTCACTGAACTGATGCTTAATCAATAGCTATTAAGCATGTGAGAGCTTATGGTTAAGGAAGTGTAGCCGAGATGGCTCTTAGAGGTAAAAAGTAAATGCACTGAACCTGAGTTTGCTGCACGGATGTGCCGTGTGGACATTGTAATGCACTATGACTGAGCACTCTCTGCTTTGAGTGCGACCTATCACTCCTCATTTTGTTCGCCATCTATTACTGCCTGGGTGAGGGACGTGGTCGACTAGTTTTCCATTTTGACAGTCCTGAGGTTTACAATGGCCCCATTACCACAGTCTTTCTCTCCTTGTTAACTTGTTTCCTACAGAAAAAGATAATACTTGGTATTTTTGTGTATATGGCAATACACTTAATGTTTTTTAGCTGTACTGTATAGTATTAGGTTGTGCAGATTAGGCTGTGCAGTTAATAGTTCTGATCAAATCAGTGTCTCTAATCCAGACTTTTATTGCATGAATCTAGTATCTGTTACCACCAGTGAAACACTGACTCTTACTCCATATGTTTATTTCAACATATGGAGTAATAGCTTACAAATGAGCAGAGCGGACACACACTCACCTGCTCTGTGACTCTGTCAGCATAGTGACTTGTTTGTATGAGATACCTCAAAGTAAATCTTGCACTGTTCCTGTGATTTGGCAGATGTTCATTTCTGTTTTGTATCTGTTGTGATCATTCTGGAGAAATGACCATGTAGCGCTCTCAAAATATATTTACTCGGGAGTGCACACAGTAGATGTTTGATGTCTGTACTAATACATCTGTAAATCTATAACGTGGTCAGCTATCATCAAAAAAGGAAGTGAATTATCTGTACAGGATATCTGGGGCCACATGTATCTTTGTCATTAAACCTCTATTTAAAACATGCCAGTGTAATAAGACTCAGATCATTCTTTTAAGACTTATAGCATTTATGTCACCTGGTTTGTGCCAGCTGCACATTCTCGCTCAAACATGTGAAGTCAATGAAGGAGGCATTCACACACAGTTCTACCCCTCTTGTCTACTTTCTTTTTCAGCACAGCCGGGAGGGAGTGAGGGGATGAAGGGGGAATAAAGAGTGGTTTTCTTCTGGCTTATCCCACGACAGCATTTGTGTCTGTCACAATGGTGTGGGGTTATTGATGCAGACAGGGGTGTGAGGCCGTCGCTAGGACGCCAGGGTGGAACAGTGCTGTGGACACAGGAAACCGACCGACCCTAAACACGGCACATGAAAACAAATGGCTTTTGATTTCCTGGCTTTGAGTTGCGAACTGCATAGCTGGCCTTTGCAAATGTGTGTGTGTGTAAGAGAGCCTGAAGGAAACAGAGACCTTAATCCAAGTAGGTAACTGTTTTAGCTGTTACTTTTGTTTGTTGATTAGTGGTTGTTTTATTGCGTTGTTTTACTGTGACATACACATGGACCACATGCATAGCAATATAGATGTATATGTGTTTATTTATGGAATAAATATCCTCTTTGCTTTGTGTACACATGATTAGATGAAAGAGAGGTTAAATTCAGCCAACGCCAAATGGCGAGCCAGCATTAAGTGTTTCTGAGCCTGAGTGTCAAATCATGACTTGCAGAGCGTTGGGATAGTTGCCAGTATCTCCTCCCTCCTGTCTCAGCCACCTTTAGCCTGCCTTCTTCTCTTTGTTCTGAATCTAGAAAAGGCTTTTCTTCACTTTATTTCAACATCAGTGGGAGATAATATTTGAATAAACAAACAGTTCAGTAACACAGGAGAAGAGAAGGAAGAGTCAAGCACGAAGAGTAATGACAATTGTGGAGAACAAAGTCTGTGTGTGTTCTTGTACTTGCTATATGGGGAGGGCCAACAAAGCATTCTTTGCTAGTAAAAGTATTCTTTGAGTGAGGACATTTTTGGAAAGTGAGGATGCTTTGGCCGGTCCTCACTTTGTGAAATATTTTTGGGTGTTAAGACTTGGTTTTAGGGTTCAGGTTAGGCTTAGGCTAAGGGTTAGGGTTAGGCATGGAGTTCTGATGGTTAAGATTAGGGGGAGGGGCTAGTGAATGCATTATGTCAGTGAGTGTGTGTGCATGTTTTTCCCGAGCACACTGTTGGTGACAGGAGTTTAGGGTGGTGGGTGGGAGGGTGGGAGCTGGCACAGTCGCATTCATCACGAGACCAAGTGAGCCAAAGGTTACCGCTAACCACACAAAAACCACATGTGGTAAACCGTCAGCGTGTGGTCTTTGGTGAGTAATCCATTATGCAAATATGGGATGGCATGAGATAATATTGCAAAAATACTTTGTGACAGTTTTGCAGAAACCAAATGAGGCAATACAAACTCCCATATCCTGTACATACTCTATATATGCAAATTCCCTCACTTTTGCTGTATTGTAAGTGAATGCTGCAATAAACTGAACCCTTGTGATGTTTTACTGTACTGACATCATAACAAATTACATTTGTGCATGATGCTTTTTGCAATGCACAAGTGTAGGTAATCAGTATGTATTAATAAGGCTTAATGAACCCCTAGAGCTATTTATAAAGAAGATACAGTGTCTGTTTATACACAGCACAAGGCAGTTTTTCCAAGTCAGATCACCAGTAATGTGTTTTCCAAATGTAGCAGTTAAGTAAACTTATTAGAAAAATATTTAGCCCAGTGAGTTTCTGTTACAGCACTGCACTACTGCTATGCTTTTTATGTGTTTCCTCATTCCGGTCAGGTGCCAACCCAACAGCAGAGACCTCAGGTGCACACTGTATATGGAACTGTCAGACTGAAATATTCTGTACATTATTGTGAACTTCTCAAAACAGTTAAATATAAAAGAGTTGCCCTTTACCCACACCGGGTAGCCTGCGGGATGGTTCACACCTCACTGACAGTCCGAACACTTGTGGAAGGATTCAGGCTGTTGATGCATGCCCAAATGCACACAGGTTATGCCTATGTATGTGTGTGAAGTCTGCAGTACAGGTAACCAATCTGCTCAGTCACTGTGTAGTAAAATGCAGCTCCGTCCAGTAAAACAGAACATGCAATGGCACACAGGAACATTACTAGTCAAACATAACATGTATCCTGCCTCCAATGTCAGCTCGGACAGGCTCCGAGTATAGTTTTGAGTGCTATAGCATATTATGCTAGTTTATATCTTTACTCCATTACACTGAGCAGCAGCTTGTAAAACACAGGCTTTCATATAACATATGGATATATTGTTATACAGTAAAGTAAACCACCCAGCAGGATAGTATATAAAATGGGACAAATTAGCTCCATCACAGCCAGCTACACCATCAACCTGTTGCTTAGGTCCCAATACATGACATGCATGGTTTAAAATAATGCACCACTGAAAGACACAATTTTGCCTGTGTAGTGAGAAATTTAGTTTCATAATTATACTGTAAGTGCATTTTGCTGACAATACTGTTTTTTTATGTAATAGAGCATATACGTTTAAAAAGAATGTATCTATCACTTATAATGAAGTGTTTTTACAGTATGGTATTGCCACTTTTACTCAGTTAAAGGATCACAACAAGTTTCCACCACTGTGTCTTAACCATTTAATTAGTAAGAAATTATTTTTATGCAGCACTTTGCACAACAAAACTTTATAATAAAAGCATTTGTAAACGAAATATTACAGAGACAGGATATTAAAAAACACATGAGAAACAAAACAGAAATAGACACTTGCAAATAGCTTTTGTCATTGATATACTTCTGTAGTGGAGGCTATACGGAATGGATGATAGCCTATTAACAGTAGCAATAGCCTGGGGTGTGGCTGTTTTGACAGTAAAAGCTGTTTGAAATTAGACTGCGATGAGTGTTTTTGGAGCAGTATATTTACTGTCCTGTCACGCGTCTTTGGGTGGAAAACCAAATATAGGGTTGTTTGGACAAGTTAAACCTAAAAGAAAGATGCTCTCCAAGTTCTGTTACTGTACAGATGGTGTAAGCATAACAATGAATGGGAAAACTGCTGCCTGTAATAATATTAGACTGGCACTGTACTATATAACAAGAGGGAAGATTGGATGTGACCAGAACAACAAGCAGGAGAGGGTGTGTGGGTGTCATATTTCTGCTGTCATAAAGTTTTTGATCAACATCTCTGCAGACAATCCCATCTGGCTTCTTTTGATTTTCTGCCACTCTTTGGCGGCATCATCGGTCAACTTGAACAATTGACTCATTGGGTGACACCCATTGGGCGTCTTTGAGTTTGGACAGAGAGGTTGCAATGATCCAATGGAGTTGCTTAACCCAGACCAAGAGGAAGATGTCTGAAAGTCAGAGTGATTTGGCTTGATTGGTTTTGGACCAAAACTCTATATTATTTCATCCTTTGGGTTTCATGCAATATACTATACTGTATATACAGTTAGCAAAGCTAAAGCTGATGCTGACACTTCTAATAGATATCACAAGCTGCAGTTCTGCAAACAGACCGAGACAGCTGGATAGCAAGAGCATTGTCAGACAGAGCACGGATGAGCTGGCCTGTCTGATACAAGTTATGATAAGGAAGTGTGGCTATGAAAAGAACTGAGGTTAAATAGAAAGGTGCCTGCTGTTTGTGAGAAGACAAGATAAGGCAAGGTGTGAGAACAAGAAACCGAGAACTGTAGTGATACCAGATGTGCTGTAGGCTTAGAAAAAATTGTCAGCAGAAACAAATAAAGAAGCTCTAGGATAGAAAAAGGAGAACTATAAGTACAGCGTGAAGGCAGAGTGACTTAGACCTCGGGTAACTCATCTTCTCTACAGTATACTTATACAAAATGATGTTGAGGGAGGGACTTAAAAATGGATTAAGGTTACAACAATAACATACTAAGAAAGGGTTGAGAGGTAAAGCTAAGGAACAAAGGCTTGCTGCTCTGACCCTCAGTTTCAATCATTTGTTTATATAGTCTCTCTTTTTTCTAGACCTAACAGGTAAAATATGTTTATTATATATATCCAGATACACACAAAATCACAGGGAAACTAAGAGCCAAACATAAGGCCCAAAATAAAATTGTTTCAATCAATCCTTTTAATAGAATTTATTAGATTCACCCAAAACTAAGAATAAATCTAATACAAATTCCCCAGCTGGATGACCATGATGTGAAGACTCCTCTCTGCCTGCAGCTTCTCCTCAGGTTGTGAAACTACAGTAAATGCTGATGAACTATGCATTCCACTGATAGTCCAATGCTTTTATTAGCTGGCATCCAGGCAGTCTGCCTGCTGCCCTGCTGCAGGGTGGAAGATAAATCGCTTAGAACCAAAGTTTATGTACTGGCAGATTACTTCCACTGCTCTATATTCACAGTCAGTCAGTGTGAGTTACAGAGAGCGGGAATAACCGAGTGAGTATGAAAAGGAAGGGTTTTGCACCAAGCAGTCAGTAGGCATATCTATAGACAGTACACAGTAGGTAAATAATGGAAATAGAGAAAAAAACATAACTGTATCTGCCATAGCAGTGACACCATTAGCCTTCACTGCACTTCAGTAGCTGTGATTTACTGCCACTCAAGTCCTGAGTTGTTTATAGTGGTAAAGACAAAAGCCTGTTTCTGTAAGGGATTAGGATCAATACACAGCCCGTGGTACAACCTCCCATAAAGATTCATTTTTGTTTCATAAGTCTCACTTGAATGCTGTTCATCAAACCACTCTGGACTTTGTTCAGCAGTGGTTGTGGCTGTCAATTAAAAGCTTAAAATACTTCTGGAGGAATGAGGACTTGATTTCAAGCCATATGCTTTGACTGTTATATGACCTCGCTGAGCAATCATGGATGTGGTAAGGAAAGCGGATACCGTGTTTAAAGAAGGTGCTCAAGTTACTGCTGTGAAAGATGTT